TGGCTGAGAAACTGTAGGCCAGGCCACAACCCTGCCTGCCCACCCCAACAAGCAGCCCACTGCTACAGGGAATCTGTTTTGGCATCTGGGGGATGTTTTGTCTCGTCTCACCCTCTACACACCGGGGCTGTGGAAGTTACCGTGCCTGCCCATTGCCAGCCCCAGGCTGGGTCTGCTCATGGTCCCCGGTGTGACCTGCCCAGGCAGGATCTCATTACATGCAGCAGCAGCAGCTAAGGAACAAACACAGCTTGTATCCTCCTCCAAGTGCTCATTTCCTTTGTCTTGTGCACATTGAAAAATGAAAGGAATGATAAGGATTTGGAAGGGAGGGTGGGGTTGGGGAGAGGCAGGCTGGAAAATTCTGCAGCCCTGGCTCAACTCGCCAAGAGGGCGGCGGGAGGGAGTTTTCAAAGACAGCGAGGAAATAATGGCCCTGAAGAGCCCTCAAGAATGATGACTGGGAGAACAATTTTGGGGGGGACACAGGCAATGGAAGATTATGCAGCCCTGAAAAGAAACGAAGTCTGGCCTCACGTACAGCTGGGAGGATGGGGCCTGAACACCTGCAAGGTGAAAGAAGCCAGACACAGGGACGGTGTCCCGTGTGCACGTTCCAGATGTTTGTGGTGATGGGTGCCCAACCTTGGGAATATACTAAGCACCACTGAATTGTACACTTCAGATGGGTGAATTGTGCGATGTGTGAATTAAATCTCAATCAAACCATCAGATATGAAAATAATTGTAATGGCAAATGGTGAGATGAGTAATGAATGAAATAAGCAAAAGGCTGAGATGGAGTGACCCAGGCCACGGTGGGCAGGTGGACGTCTCTGGGAGGCGACTTCTGTGGTGGGGCTCACAGGTGGGGACGGGAGGTATGTGCACAGAGCCCCGGGGCTCTCAGCGGGCAGCCTGTGTGTGCCAGGCTGGAGAGGGCACCATGGCCTGACCATGCAGATGGAACCTGGGACCTTAGTGACCTGGTATGGAGGCCTCAGGGCCCTGCAGAAATATTCCCTCCCAGCTGCTTCAACCCAGAGGTGTTGGTGACCCCCCACCCGGGTTACACAGCTGGGCACTGGCCAGCCACCCTGCAGGGCTCTCCCTGCCAGCAAGTCTAGGATGGTGGCTCTTTGAGGGCCCTGCCTCCAAGGCCTGCTGTCCCCTGAGGGAACGTGTGTGCTGAGAGCAGCTTCCCAACAGGGTGGTGGCCAACCTGCCACTCCCAGCAGTGCCTTCCCAGGGGACTTCTGTGTTTATTTTCTTCCTGAGCCATGAAGAGACTTGGGTGCCAGCAGCCTGCCCGGAGCCAGCAACGGTGGGCTGTGCCAGAGAAATGTCTTGCTCGGTGTCCCGCCCACCAGGAGCTGCAAGACAGCAGTTCTCCGTCTCAAGGGAGCACCTCCCCCTCATCCTCCCACATGGAGCACATCCCCCTCACCCTGCCTTCCCGCAGCCCCTGCACCCACTACCCGTGTTGGGGTCTTCAGAGCCACAACGTTGTCCCACTCCAGCCAAGAGGGAGCCAGCCAGGCCTCAAAGGACGCTGCTATCACAGGCCGGGCCAAGACGATGACCCTAAGTATCCCAAGGGGCAGTCGGGTCCTGGCTGGCCGCGGTGGGAGCGCTTGCATCACGTCCCCCTGAGTTTCCAGAGCCTTCCCACCAGATGCCTCCTCTCACCCTGGAGGCTGGGGTCCTCCCCCCAGGTACCTGGGCTGCCCACTTCTGGAGAGCCTGCTGGCCCTGTGGTGGGCTGGGGGAAGCTGAGTGCCTCAGGAGGGCTGGGACAGGCAAAGGGGGATGGCTGGGCCCTGCGTAACCTGGGCCAGTGGCCCCCCAGGCCCAGGTTTGGTCCACAGTGGGTGGCCCTCACTGTATGGTGAGAAGTGTGCTAACAGATGTTGTTAAGTGAAACCGCAGTGTAACGGCCCCACTCAAAGGGAGTTTGAAGGACAGGGGTGCCCATGAGCTGTTCCAGCCTTGCTTCTGTGTCACAGGACATCATGTCCTGGCTCTGCCAGAAGCGAGGGGTGTCTATATACAGACGTTCCCTTCACAAACATAGGCTTCTGGGCTCTTACTAACGATCCCTCCTGTGGACAGTCCTTCCTGAAAATCAGAGGAGATTCCTCGGAGGAAGAGCTGCCTCCCTGCCCTCCCACGCACAGCCGCCCGCTTCCCTCCATGTCGTTCAGCACTCAGGGGCAGGGTCTGCCTGTTTGTGACCTGGCTCCTTCCTGGATTCCCCATCAGGCTGGGCTGTCCCAGGGGCCTGGTCTGTCTGTCCCTCAGAAGGGCCACTGGGGGGGACGGTGCTGGGCTGGGCCTTGGGGTCAGCCCAGGGGCTTGTTGTCACCCTGATCCCTCCTGGCCATCAGTTGGACCTGAGAAGGCAAGAGTTCACTTCTCAAAGCCTCCTCACCCTGGGAGCAGGGTGATGACCACACTGGCCAGAGAGCCTGGTGCCCTGGGACCACGCCAGGATGGGCTGGGGTCTGGCGCTCGCCTCCAATCTGGTTCTTTTTGGAGATGGGGAGGAGCCCATGGCCACTGGGTCATTTCCCAGAGCCCACGGCTTCTCCGCAGGGTTGGCATGCCCTGCCCAGCCGCTGGGAGGGCCAGGGAGGTCAGTGCTTCACTGGGCTAAGCTCAGGGACAGAATTAGCTCTCCACTCCTGCTGTCAAGGCTTTCCAGGCAGCCGAACCATCCCAGGGAGGGACCGGGACGGGGCCTCCTGGGAATCTGCCCAAGGCTTTTTCCCTGGTTCCTCTGGGAAGAGATCCAGAAAAAGACTGAAAGTGCCCCAGCGGAGAGGGAGGGGGTAGGGTGGGAGCCGGCCCTGCCATCTGGAGAAGGCCCTGGGGCTCTGAGAAGACCTGAGGTCTCCTGCTGTCCTCAGCGGGCCCGAGGGAGCGCTGGCCGGGCCTTGTCACTCCCAGAGGCCGTCAGAACCCTGGGATCCTCACTGCATTCCCGGCCTGCAAGCCAAATGCAATTTCACGGAAGCCTCAGGAGTCAAATCCTCTCCAAAAGGTTGGCCTGGAGCCCGGTGAGCACAGAAAGCCCTCTGTTGTTCAAGTGTGGTCGGAGAGGCTGGAGCTGCGCAGAAAGGACCCCCCACTTATTACTCCTCATCTCTCCCTTGCCCACCAAGATGTGCCCGCCCCCAGCTGGCATGGTGGGCTCACCAGGCTGCCGAGGATGGACCCCTTTAGAAAGCTTTAACTCCCTCCCCACTCCCTGCATGTGCTTTGGTAACTCATCCTCAAGGACCGAAACAAAGGTGACAGGTCCTGGCTTGGCGCCCCCATCCTTTGCCGCACTAAGGGAGGGACTTTTATGAGTCGGTAGAGCTGCTTGCAAATTCTTGACTCAAGCTCACAAGCCCTACAAACCTTGGCACACGATTTCCTTGCTGTGAGCCTGTGTCTTCACCTACGAAATGGTCTTTCTAATTCCACCCCGCTCCCCTGCAAGGTCAGTGCCTCTTTGGGGGTCTGCTCGGAACTGGTGTGTATCTCCAAGAGCCCACCACATCACAGGGGATCATCTGTCTGCCCTCATTTCAGTGTTTCCCCGTGTTCTTATGGACATCTTCCATGATGTGGCAGATTGTGTCATAGTTCAAAATTACCGACCTCTGTGGCCATCGTTAGATCCAGCTGCATCCCTGGAGGGCAGGACCACATGACTTGCTCTGGCCAATGAAATGTGAGCAGAGATGATGTATATTGTTTCGGGGCAGAAATTTTCTGAGCCAATGCCATGGCCAGGTATGTCTATTTCTGCCACAAAAATGTCATCGTCCCAGACGAAGGGTCCTCTCTCAGCCAGAGCCCCAGAGTGAGTAGGACGCAGGGCAGAGCTGCAGCCATGCTCGAAGGACAGGTGGCAGTCTTAAGACAAGCCTCCGTTGTTGGAAGCCTTTGGGACCCGGGATCATATCCTGGCTGGCAGTGGCTGTTGTAAGTCTTTAAAGGGATTCCCTAGAGCTATTTGTCGGTCTTCTGCTACCGCTGGGTGTGGTGGATAATTAACAGTTAAAATGGGATGCCTTGGAACTTGGTGGCCACTGGTAGGGGCTCAGAAACCGGTGGATGCAGTGTAATGACTCCTGCACACAGGCCAGACTGCTGATTACTGGAGCTGTGAGACTCATCTTCCTCTGTGTGAGTCGTGTGTACGCAGAATTTCTCCTACTCAGGGAAGCCTCTCCGTTGAATTCATGACGCATGACCTCCTTCATCTCTAAGAACCATGGTCTGCTCCCCTCTCTCCACCCTGCCACCCCCTTGCAAGAGTGTGGGTGGAGGCCACTTAGGTGAGTTTCCATTATCTCCCTGCCCCCTGCCCAAGGTCAGGTTTATTAAGCTTGTGGCAGCCGGGAAGGGTGTGCACCAGAGGAACTGCGGGGCATCTCTCCCCATCTCTTGGCGTAATTTCTTCCCCCCTGACTGAGCCCCAGTCAAGCCCATCTGCCATCCCAGACCTTCCCCTTTGCTATTTCACTTCTATGCCCTGCTATCAAATCTGGCTCAGGGACTGTAGCACCCATAGCACTGGCCTTGTTGTGCTGGTGATCTTCAGAATTGTGGTTTTTTAGCAACATTCCCTCCCAGCAGCATGCAGTACATGCTAGGTAGACAGTGGATGCTCAGGAAAGACTGGGTCTCCTGATTGGTGGCTTCATGGCTGGTGGGGCTGTGGCACAGCAGAGGGCCCTTCTCTGCAGACTAGTTTATGATGGTCATAATAGGGAAGCAGGTAAGTGTCCCCCAACACCTGGCTGTTGGGAGGGGCCTGGCAGAGCAACAGAACCATGTACCCCCAAGCCTGGACTCCGATTTCTCTCCTGATCTCTGCCTGCTTCTCTGGCAGCTGGGGACCCCGAGCAGACCAATCCTCTCTCAAGGGATGGAGTTTGTAGTTGGGACTGGTTCCCTCCCTGCTGCCCACCAAGGACCCAGAATCAAGGATGTCAACAAAGGAATTTGCAAAAGCCATCCCTCTTTATTTTTCATTCCTGCCGTTCAACCAGTTTGCACAAGCTGAGATTGAATGGGTTTTGGAAGGAAAGGAGGAGCATCTGGACACAGACCCTCCCGGAAATTGTCTATGCACACTGCTGAGGCTGGTTAGACTTCAGAAGCAATTTAACAATAAACTCTACAGAATTAGAAATGTACAAAAGTGTCAAGGCGGCTGCTGGCTGGTTTCTTGCTTGACCATGGGGGTCAGAGTTATGCCCACCAGTCCTGTGCAAAGGTCCTGGGGCTGGCCTGGGGGGCAGCTGAAGTCTTCCCTGGGGCGGGAGCAGTCCTGCTCCCCCAGCAGAAGTGTGCCGAGGGACAGACGCATGGGCGTGGGCCCAGGTGCCACGGCCCCTCAGGTTCTGCAGCTTTCAAGCGTGTCTCTGCATCCTGCCTTTATGTCCGCCCTTTGAAAGTGTTCATGCAGGTGTAGGTTCCTGAGAATTTGTAGATCTCCTCAAGTGCAGCCTGTGGGAGTATGCTAGGGGGTGCGGATGGAGAAAAGAAGGTGGTCAGTGGTAGGGGTGGGTGGGCACACATGAGTCCTGGTGGCCACACAGGGCAGCTTAGCAGAGTAATGGTTCCCTAAGTTCTCCCTGCCCCTCTCTCCAAGCCACCCAACCCACCCTTCCATGGAGGAAGGGCTTCCAAGTGAGTGGATAAATAGCTGTTTACAAGACAAGTGTGGGCGGTAGAAACAAACTTTCAAAGCCACCTTCTTAGCATTTTGGGGTCCACAGGTGTCTCAGAGATCAGGGAACTCCTGAGGAGTTAGGTCCTGGGGTCACCACCTGCAGGGAAACTTCTCTGACTCACCGCCAGTCCTCTCTTTGGGTTAGCCCCTGTGCTTCCACAAGTGTTAGCCTCACTGTTTTCTCATCAGGCCCACAGGTACCTTTGGGGCAGATGTCTGATCCCAGCCCTTAGCACCGGGCCCAGCAAAAAGATGGCCTCGGTCCATTTGTTGATCAAGTTGAAGGGCCCTGGCTCACTCTAGGTATAAGATGGGAAAGGTTCCCTTCCAGCCAGACCAATCAGGAAGGCTTCCTGGGGGTGGTGGCACTGGAGTTAAGCCTATAAAGATATCTCTTGGGGCAGGTAAAAAAGGGGTTACTGTGCAGTGAATGGAGTAGGGGGAGTTACTTCTGCTTCCTGTGGGGAAGTAGTGGGAGCATAGGACAGGAAATGTAGGTTGGGGGCTTACTGTGGAGAACACTACAATGTTCTAGGCAAACTAGGTTTTTTCTAGAATGTTCCACAAGGCTTCTAAGAAGCTCCCTGAGGTGGATGGTGGCACCCCAAGTCCCTGCTCTCCTAGGGGCCCCTGGAGGTGATCGAGAAGCATATCAGAGCAACAAGTCAGGATGGACTGAGGGGGGTCAGAGTGTGGCCCGAATGCCCCTGGGTGAGCCTGTGGAGCCAGGAGTCCACGGTCACCCAGGATTGTGGGGTGGAGGCACTCCCGGGCACTGAGAGGCCCGTGAACATGTATTAGGCAGGCAGCTGGAACCCCTTCAGTGTGGGGCTGGGATGGGAGAAGTTTGCTGCCAAAACCTGGAAAGTTGCGGGGAATGTGATGCGGGGAAATTCTGGAGGAATGTCTTCTATGAAGGCTGCCTCGTGAGGTGGTCTGCCTGGCAACTCCTGCTGGACTGGCACTGTGACGCTTCTGTGAGTCCTGAGCCCGCGGCCTGGAGAGCCCTGTCTTCCCCAGCAGATTAAACCTCCTGAAGATTGGGGCCAAGTATTAGTCCCTAGAGCAGGGGTTCACAAAGCATGGCCTGGGACACCTGGGGGTACCTGAGATCCCTCCAGAGGTCTGTGGGCCAAACTACTTTTATAATTTTATAACTAAGACTTTTTTTTTGCCTTTTTCACTCTCATTTTCTCATGAGTGTACAGTTGAGTTTTCCAGAGGTTGCGTGATGTGACATCACAACAGATTAAAATCAGAAGCTGATCTAAGAATCCAAGTGTCTTTACTTAGACAGTAAAGAGCTTCCCAAAAATGTAAAAACAATGCCATTTGCCTCACTGTATCTTTTTGTTGAAAATATACTTACTTTTCATAGAAATATAATATTTATGTTAACACAGAATGGATCTGTTATTGTTACATCTAAATGAGTGAACAAATATTCTAAATATAAACACGTGTACATCTTATAAAAATGTTTTCTCAGTTTTAATTTCTAATACAGCAAAGAGCAATAGATACAACTGACATCATTAACTAAAGCTCTTTGGGTTCCTCACTAGTTTTGAGATTATAAAGGGGTGCTGAGACTAACAAGTTTGAGAACTGCTGCTCCATAGTAAGGATAGTAAATCCACGGCACACATGCCACCACTCGTTATTTTCACGCCCACAACAGACATGACTAATCGATCACATGTGTACCTTCTCCTGCCCGCAGCCTCTTCCCCACCAGGGTCCACTGGGGAAAGAGGAGATGGTTGGCATGAGTCTGACCCAGAGCTTTCTCCCCCAGCCCTGTACCTTTTCAAGATTATGAGGGCGTGCATGGTCCAGGGGAGCAGAAGGAGGGCCTGGTTGAGCTGCACAGCTTCCACAGTCCTACGAGCCACCGTCTCCGGCTTCAGTGGGGGGAAGAGGTTGGGGAACCTGAGTGCAGGGAGAGACAATGTGGGTTTCTCTTGGAGAAGCACATGGCTAACACGTGCTGACACGTGCTTCTGTGGCTGACGGAAGTCTGCGTCTGGGTCATCTCTTGGGGATGTCCCCTGCTTAGGAGACTTCAGACCCGTTTGGAATACTCCGCACCCCCCTGCCACCCCAGACGGTGGGGTGTTCCTCATCCCTCACTCCTCCCAGTGAGACTGCCCTTGACAATCAAGGACTTCGAGCCCACCCACTGGACCCAGCCTCCAAAGCACTTCAGGGGCTCCTGCCAGTCGCCGCTCGGGTCTCATCACTGGTGTCACTGCTCTGCTCACGCCCTCCCAGGGCTCCTGGCACTCTACAGCCCTCATGCCGCGCCCTGCCTGCCCCCGCCCCTCCTCCCTTCTCACTCTGCTCCAGCGGTCAGCGCCGATCTCTGTCTGCTCCTGTCACTTAAGCTCTTTTCTGTTTGGGGCGTTTTGCCAGCCGTCCCATCAGCCTGTCTCCCTTCTGGTTCCTGCTCAGGGCGGCGTCTCAGCCAGTCCGCTCAGAGGGGCCTCTGATCTTGTCCCCTTGCCCATTCCCTTGACCACATTCGCCGCATCTAGAATGGCCTTGACTGTCGGCTTCCTTCCCCGTCAGCAGCCTGTCTCCCGATCAGACCGCGTTCCACACGGGCAGAGGGCTGGTGGGCCCCGCTCCCTGCTGGGCTCCCTAGGTGCGGTGTGCGGCACACAGTGGGGGCTCAGTAAGTGCTGGCTGAATGGGTGAACACCGAGCAACCGGCCATTCCCCAGGAGTGTCCTGCTCATCCTGTTGGAGGCAGGGGCTGTGTGGGAAGTCTTCTCGGCCAGCTTTGATCCACTCACTCAGTCACTGACTCATCGGCACCTTTTGACATTTACAGAGTACTTTCCACGGGGCTGAGAAGTGAATAAGCAAATGCCAGGGGCCTCTAGTGCCTGCTCGGAGGCATCCGACCTGAGACCCACACAAGGAGGGTGCACCCGAGGTGTCAGGCCTGTGCTAGGTGCTGACGGGAGTCACCTGCCCAATTTACAGAGAAAAAAACTGAGGCTCTGGGTGTTGTGGGGTGCTAGGGATTCCAACCAGGCCTGGGCGGGCCCCAGGCCAATGCCCTTCCCACCCTTGCTCTCTGCTTGTCCCACCCATCCTGGGCCTGGAGGTGCCACGCTTACGCTGATGGCTCTGACTTCAGTCCCACAAAGGGTTTGTGCCCTACTCTGGCACCAGGAGGATTAAAGGTGATGAGTCACCCTGAACAAAGGGCAACTCCTGGGTTCCCAGTACAGCTGGGTTGGTCTCAGAGAGTCCAGGAATCCACCCCCTACCCCGTGTTTCCTTTGCTATCACAGTGTCTGTTACGATGCCCACATCTTTCCCTTTTCCCTCTGTGATGGGTGGGATGAGGCTACAGGGAAACAGCAGCAGAGCCATTAACCCCCATGGAGGCAGCTCAAACTGGTGGAAAAGCATTCTCAGCCAGTGTCTATCTGTATGGCCTTGGCCTTCAGTTCTCTGAGCCTCAGTTTCCTTGTCTGTGAAATGGGGAGGAGAGCTCTCTCACAGGGTTGCTGAGGGCCAAATGCAACAGCCTCTGTAAAGCGTCAGGTGTCGCTGGAACACAGAAGGTCAGCAAAAGGCCATTTATAAAGAACAGCAGTCACCTATACGGCCATTCTTGCCAGAAAACCCATCAATTGTGTCCTGAACATCTGTGTCCCACTCTCAACCCTGGGAAGCTACTTTGTATGTTGGGGAGGAAGCCCATGCTTTTCTTCTTCTTCTTCTTCTATATGTTTTTCTTCTTTTTATCTTGTTTTAGAAAATAGGAGTTGGTTAGGCACCATCGCCTTCTCACTGCTCCTCTCCCGGCCCTCAGGTCCAGCTGCGTGACCACAGGGGACCGATCCGCACCTCGTGCTTCCTGCTTGCCAGGAAGACTGGTTAATTCACACACAGGAGCACGTCTAACTCACAGAGTAGCAGGGACTGTCAGCAATCCCTTCTTATCGGTGAGGGAACCAAGGCACAGAAAAGCTAAGGAACTTGCCAAGGTCACACAGAGCTGGGATTTGGCCTCAGGAGTTTGGGCCCACACTCCAAACCACTGTGGGAAAAAAAATGTCTTGGGGGAAAACTTTGAATTTCCTTCTTAATGTGGTAGAAAGAAAAACTATGCTGGAAGGTGAAAACGCATGCAAATGTGAAGTCTGTGAACATCCCGCCTGCTCTGTGCTCAGGGCACCAGTTAAAACCCCGGATCACCACTGCTGCAGCTTCACCCCTTATGCATTTATTGAGCACCTCCTGTATGCCCAGATGAAAAGTAACCAAATCAGGATGTCACAGGGGAAAACAGCCAATGTAGAACATTAATAGGCATTAATCCCGCCTCCCCTTAATTCAGAACCTATGATAATTTGCAGGCAAGTCCGGTGGAAATATAAACTTGTGAGACACACAGAAGGTACGGTCTGCTGGGAAGATTAGTAACGCAGTTTTATGAAGATGTTTATTGTTAGAAAAGATAACAAGAGCAGCAGTTCATTACTGAGCACCTAACGTGCCCCAGGCTTTGCATTAGATAGTTACAGGTGTTATTTTTGTTTCTCCAATAATTCTCCAAGGTAAATATTGTTTCCACTGTTTTACGGATCAACAAAGTAAAGCTTGGAGAGGTAAGAGAACTGGCTCAAGAGTTCAGACCTCCAGAGTATCTGAGGTGTGATTCAAAACCAGGTGTTTCTGATTCTTGATATCAAAACCACACTCAGTACTCATGCATATAATTTAGGAGGGAAATCTATTATTAGATACTCACTGCAAACAACAAGGAAAGTAGTTTTTGGATAATTCCCCATTTTCATTTATCTATAACTGCTGCCCCTTTACAACCACACATCATGGCAACACCATTTACTGGGCACTTCCTATGCAGCACAGACGCTGTTCCACGCCAGATCCCGTTCTGTCCCTATCACAGAGCCTTAAGTGTACATCTTCTCACCATGCCTTTTTATAGGTTAGCAACAGAGACCGGAGCAGGGACTCATCAGCCCCCAGGTTGCACGGTACATTATAGGTGAGTCGACATCCCAGGTGCCTGGCCCCAAAGCGTGAGCTCTAAACCAGCAGTTCCCAGTCCCTTCAGTTTAATTGGCCTGGAGGAGGGGTGGTTGGGCTTTAGTATTTCTTTAAATTGAGCTATAATTTGCATATAATAATTTGAATTACACACTCAGAAAGTTCCCTCGGGCTCCCTCCAGGCTATGTCCCCACCCCTGGGCGTTGGGGTCAGGGCAGGTCACTGTTCTGATTTCTATCACCATGGGCCAGTTTTGCCTGTTCTAGAACTTCATATAAACGGAACCACGCAGGATGCACTCTTGTCTCTGGCCCATTTCATTCAACCTAATGCTTCTGAGGTCCCTCCGTGTTGGTCGCGTAGCAGCCCTCCATCCTCTTTTTATAGTCGGGTAGCATTCCACTGCGTGCATTTAGCATTAGTTCTTTGTAAAGGCCCCCTGACCTGAGAAGTCGAACCCGAAACTGCTCTAACATCCCCACCACCTTGCGGACGGACACTCAGGTACAAGATCACATAGCCAGAGATAAACGGCTTCTGGCTTATTTTTCCATTTAGCTCTCTCTGTGCGGAAGAAGCCCTCCCCTGGTCCTGTCAGCTGGTGGGACGTGGTGTGGGTAGGTGGGGACCCGCTCACTGACCTGACCCTCAGGCCCTGGAACATCTCGGTACTGGTGTGGAAGGGCAGCACGGTGGTGGCACTGACTCCCGGACAGTCCAGCAGCCCCAGGGTCAGGCTCTCCATGAAGGCAAAGGCCGAGGCTTTGGACGTGCAGTAGTCGATGGCGCCAGGGATGGCCGACAGCGCCAGCACTGAGTTGAGACACACGATGTGGCCGTTCTGCAGCTCCAGCATGCGTGGCAAGAAGGCCTTGGTGGTCTGCGGGTGTGCGGGCAGGTCAGTGTGGAGCAGGTGCAGTTCCAAACAGCCCAGCTCCCCCTGTCTCCGGGAGAACAGACACCCTGGACCTGCACTACTCCAGCGACGGCGGGAGGACAAGGGGCTGCTGTTGCAAGGCACTCCTCCACATTTCAGAAAGTTCGGATGCCTCCTCGGGATGGCCATCCCTCTTGTCCTTGGACATCTCCCACAGCGTGGGCCCTAGGCTCTCCCCACCTCCCTTCAGCACCTGGGCTCCCTGGAGGGAAGGAACATGCCACTGCCATGCCCAGGGCTGCTCTGGCCCAGGGGAGCCCTTACCCAGAACTGGCCCAGGGTGTTGATGTGCTGGGACTTGAGAAGGGCGTCGTCGTCGCTGTCCATGAGGCTCTTTCCGTGCACCACGGCAGCGTTGTTCACCAGGATGGTGATGTCCCCCACCTGCGGGCACGAGTGGGCCACGGGGCTGTTAGGGCAGCCAGCCCCAGGGGTCTGCACCTAGAGGAGAGGCCACCTCCCCCCCAAGCACCAGCCGTGTGGTCCTGGGCGGCCGCCTTGCCTCCCTGAGCCTCAGTCTTGATCTGTGAGATGGAGCCAAGGACCGCGGCAGGGCATGATTTATGGCACATGATACGCCTGGCACAGAGCACATTTCTAATAAAGGAAGTTGATGTTACATAAAAACAGTTAACATTTACCATGTGCCAACTGCTTACAGGGTGGGTGCTGCCCTCGGTCAGCTCACTGGTACACTCAGTCTGAATGGCTGGAGGAGGAGCAGGACGTCCCTACAGGGCAATGGGGCATTTGCCCCCCGTTCTAGGGTAGAAACTTCCAAGGTGTAAACTTCCAAAGGGGATAACAGGTGATCACTTCTGTTATGCCATCAGCCCACACCCGAGTCCCTGCTCCCTGGGACACACACACACACCCACGCACACACATGCCCATGTGCACACAACTTGGTCCATGTTCATGGGAGAGTCCCTAAAGATGCCCCAGAAGCAGCCATTCTGCCAGGAGCAATGCCCTCTGCCAGGCTATGTGAGAATGTTCTCTTTGTCTGGCCTGTGTGCAACAGAGTCAAGGACGGACCGCTGTATGCTCCTTACCTTCTCCCGGACGGCTTTGGCCGTCTGATACACCTCCTCCCGGTTGCCCACATCACAGATGAAGTAGTGGCACTCGGTGCCCATCTGCCGAATCTCCTCTGTCGTCTCCTTTAGGCATTTCTCAGTCCGGCCCCAGAGAACGATCTGGAAGGAGAGAATAATAGCACTGAACAGGTGGTCATCAGCAAGCCATCGTAATTCGACGATCGCCATCAGAAATTCAGTATTGAAAGTAGTTTTCCCAAAGACCGGCCTCCCTAATTCCATCCGAAGAGATTATGCAAAACAAATGAACGCTACAATATTTAAGAGGATATAGCCCACCCAGAAGTGAACCAGTAGTTTCGGAGCTCATTTGCCACCAGGTGATGGATGTGTTATTTATGTCTTTCTTACATGCGACTTCCAGCAGGAGGCCTCATTTCCATTTACCCCAGATGGTTGGAAGCAATAGCAGAGCTTTTCTCTGCAGTGTTCCAGAATGCTCTTAGGTATAAACTGGCCTTCTCACCGATCAGGTGCATGAACACCAGGCGTGAGCATGGCCAGGAGCTTCCAGCCCTGAGGGGTCCCTGGGCTAAGTGGAGCCTTCTCCCAGCTGCGGTCACACTCAGGAGGACAGGAAAAGAGGCGGCCAGGCTCCCGAGGAGGGCACGGCCTCACCCACAGGTGGTAAACATGGGCTCAGCACGCCAGGACCTGACCCTGGCCGAACCAGGACATAGGACCCTAACCTGTTGGACAAACTGATGAATGCCCAGCCATAAAAGGCTCGGAAGAGAAGCCTGGCTAATCCTCAACCTTGACCTAAGTAACAACAGGCCTCCCACGAGGCGTCCTTGGGTCGAGAGAGGCCTCTGTTGGTAAATGGTCCGGGTGGTGGGACACAAAGAACTCTAACTAAAACAGCCTATTGGGCACCGAGGGAGGAGGGCCAGGGGATGGACAGACTCAGAGAAACGAAGAGATAAAAGGTCTTGGGGGAATCAGTCTAATGGGTTTCTATTTTTGTTTCTTCTCCTCTTTTTCCTTTAAAATTATCAGTGAAATTCCTTTAAAAATAAAACCCAACATGGAAACCCCAATGTGTGAAACCAGTAAAAGGAATAAATTACATGTCCAGCTCCATATCTTCTTACTCCAAAAGCAATACTGGAGACAGAAAGGCCGTGTTGCGAAGGCAAACATTTCCAAAGGGGGGCGGGAGGGTGGGGGTTACAGATGTGGCTCCAATCACACCAGACCAGGATCCAACTGACTTCTGTATTTTGCTCTCTGACATGGTACAGAGAAAAGTCACACAGATAAGTAACTGGTGGGGGTAACAGTTTATCAACCGTTCACCCTGAAATCTCAGAATTTTCCCTTCAGCAGAAAGGGCCCCAAATGGGTGTAGCTGGCAGGACACACATAAGCTGGTGGTCTCCAGTGGATTTTATTTTTTTTATTAGAACTTTTAAAGCTTTTGAAATGTTTTTTAAAATAAAAAAGTGTTTTCTCAACCCCCGAAACAGCTCTGGGAAAGTCCAGGCTGAAAACTTCACCTAGTCCAACCACTTTATTTATTGTAATTGAAGTCATGAAATGCAGGCAGGGTTTTACGAGGGAGGAACCCAGCAGTGGCCCCATCGAGGGCAAACAGCTGTAATTAGACAGGCTCCAAGGGACACTTTTTTGTCTGCTGAACTAAAAACAGACTTAAAATTTATTCCTTCAGGAGAGGCTGGGGAGATTCACTTCACGGAGGAGAAGACAGACAAACATCGGTTTTAGGAATGCATCTGGGGCAGGCACTGCCCCTCCACCAGACCTCACCCTTGCCTTTAAGCCCCTACCACCCAAGTGTCCTCTGTCCTCCCTTGTCACCCCATCTGTCTGTCTACCTGTCCTTCCTCCCATCCCTCCATCCCTCCCTCCCTCCATCCATCCATAATCCATCCATCCACCCATCCACTCATCCATCTACCCACCCATCCATCTATCCATCCATCCTTCCCTGCATCCATCCACCCATCCACTCATCCATCCATCCATCCATCCATCCATCATCCATCCACTCATCCATCCATCCATCCATCCATCATCCATCCATCCATCCATCATCCATCCCTCCCTCCCTCCATCCATCCATCCATCATCTATCCATCCATCCATCCACCCATCCATCCACTCATCCATCCATCCATCATCCATCCACCCATCTACTCATCCATCCATCATCCATCAACCCATCCACTCATCCATCCACCCACCCATCCATCTATCCATCCATCCATCCATCCATCCATCCATCCATCATCTATCCATCCATCCATCCACCCATCCATCCACTCATCCATCCACCCATCCACTCATCCATCCATCATCCATCCATCCATCCACTCATCCATCCATCCTTCCATCCATCCACCCATCCATCCATCCATCCATCCATCCATCATCCATCCA